ATTTACAAATCAATTATCCAATGAAAATTAACTATGAAAAGTCATGTGATATGCTAAAATTCATATCACAACAATATCTTAATTTTTGTTGATTAATAATTAAGTAATTATGAAATTTTTGATGAAAATGGTAACAATATCCATAAAAAATTAATATTTGATATGCTCTCCTTCTGTATTAATGCAAGTCTGAATGTGATCTGGCATACTGGTGATATACTTAAAAACTATTTTATTAGAAATATTTTTTCACTTCTCCTTTGCTAATACAACAAAAATCTCTTGTAATACATTTTATTTTTGTGTTATCATTGTCTTAACTCTTTTCTTAACATTCTGTTTAAAAATAATTTAAATATTCTCTATTGGATTAAGATCCAAACTATATAATGATTAGGTCAGAACATGATTTGATAACTGCAATTCAAGATTAGTACAAATATCTTTTGAGATATGTTATTCTACTGAAAAATTTAGTACTAATATTTGTATATACTAATTGCATTATTATACAGATTCTCATTGAGAATCTGCTAATAGAGATATTAATTCATATTCTTCACAAATGTACACATTCTGACTTTGTCATGTACAAATCACTCTTCATATATAAAGCTTAAATAAATATTTTACTATTGGTACAATAGGCTTGTCAGAATGTGATCAGATTAAGCAAGTGTTCCAAAATATTTGCAAAGTTATTTTGTTAGAAAACATTACTTTGCGCTAGTTATAATAAGAATGATCCTGTGTCCATTACAACCAGTCTCTCTTGATCTGTTGTTCAGTGAGAAATAGAATACATCTTAGCCAAGTAGCAATATAATCAAGTCTGGAAAGTTCATCATGAATAATTGGTTCATCTACTTCAAAATTGGTGTGTGTTTCTTTAAGTCGAGTCTTGATTTTAGTTACTATAACAAAATTATTTGAATTTACAATTTTGTTAATTTGGTAATACATATCAGATAAGATTTTGCATGGACAATCAGGATGGTGAATTTTTCGAATTTGATTATTTTTACAAAGTTAGGCCACATATCCTTTACAGAAGTAAAGAGGAACACCAGTTTTTCAAGAAATTTCTATTATATTTCAATGATCTTGTTACTATAATTTCTTAACTGTTTCACAATTTGCTTGTATGGGATTGTGTGTCATTTTGAAAGGTGATGCTGATTATTTCAAATGACAAAATACATTCACAGCAGGAGTTACACATGTACAACTCGATCAGTCATTACTTTTCGGGGAACTGTAAATATATGAATTATGAAAAGCTTGTTGAAAGTCTTTGCAGTCAAATTTCTTTGAAATTTGTAGTTGCTTTTTAGCAATAGTTGCTTTTATTTTTGTTATTTTCTTTTGAATTATTTATTTATCAATCTAGTCAAGTTAATAGTCAAAGTTATTTCAATTGGTCTTCTTATGTTATCGCAAATATTATATCAAGGTGATTGGTGAAGATTCTCAAAGAGAGTCATTTTCTGAATCAACTGATTTAGCTGATTTTATTGCCAATGTAAGTCATTTTTTTTGCAATTGTTTCCATCAGTTCTATTGTGATAGTTATTAGTATATCATTTGCTGATTCATTTCATTGCTTTTTTATTTCTAGGATTTGTTCATTGATTCATTTGATTTGTAATTGAAAGTTGATATTTTGTTTTTGTTCTAGTTCAAGCTGTTGTTGCACTTTTGAAATCGCTTTAATATATTTATTTATTATATGCAGCGAGAAAGTTTTCGATAAATATGTCCATGTTGTTGCTGTTGGTTGGAATGTGGCGACGGTGGGTGGTGGTAGGGTTGTTAATGTTGGAATGCAGCGGCGACGGTGGATGGTGAAAAATGTCCAAATTCTGAGAACGGAGTCAAAATACGGCAGTGTTATACATGAACGGTATCCAGAGATATTGTGTATGTGATGGTTTGTCAATTTATGAAGGAAGTTAAGAGAAATGAGTCATTTCTTGATTTATGCTCCAAAATGCTCATCCAGAATTCGTCGCTTCGATGGAATGGATTATTTAATGGCGGTTGGATTATCGAATTGCTCTAAATGGATTAAAGTTTGACCTTCCAGCTCCGTAACGCATTCTGGCTCTGTTATTGTAATGACGAATTGAAATACATGGTGAAGATGATTTGACGAGCACGGAAACATCCCAACGAAAGCGTCATGAAATACTATGATGATTTATTAAATCCTCAGACGAATAGACGCGGACGAACAAGAAGCAAATCGCTGGGATGTTTACTCGAGGCTTAGATAAGAAACTACAGAAGAGGGTTTACAGCCCAAAAATTAGAAATATCAATGATGCGTACCGTAAAGCAAAAGACGCAGAAACCTCACTCGCCTATAGTGATTTCACGGGCGTAAATTTGGTAATGAATAGAGAAGAATTCGTCGTCCGGAACGCACCATCCAAACGCCACGGACTTTTGTTAATAAATCCACAGATTAATATTTGATAGAGATTAAAGCATGGATGATTACGACCAAACAAGTTAATCTCAACATTGGCAAGCACTAAAGTCCCTTGGCCGGAATTAACAAGTGATGTGTCTGCATTAATACTAACTGAATGTTTTGAGGTTTTTAACGCATTTTTTGAAAGGAGGTAAAGGTAGAGATGTTCTGGGAAAAGATTTCACCAAAGATAGTGACATTTACGATTTTTATTGTAAATACCGTTTAAAAGAGAAGACTATAAATAAGGAAAGATCATAAAAGAAGTCGGATCAAAATTAATTTTGCTATTATCGAAATTGCTGAGTTGCAAATCTCTTATGGTGCTTTTTTTAGTGAAGAACCGTCCATCCGGACATCAAAGTCCCGGACATAAAAAAATGCAGAACATAGACGTGGACTGTCCTGTCCCGTCCCATGACAACACTGCATGAAGGTGCTCTTGTGGTAACCTTTGGGCTTCGTCAATTGCTACGATGAAATTCGCATCAGTTTCTGACTTGAAGTGAAAGTAGGCAAATATCGTATGGTCCTCTAGGTGGTGCAGGTTCTTCTCAATCTGCCGAGTAAGTTCAATATATACTGTCTAGTCGCGAGTCTCTTGGCAAAAAAGGCCATATCATAGGAGTATATTTGCTTCCAAACTTCGCACGCAGGAATGACCGTGAAAGCCGCTTGGCAGTTAAGAAGATTACTCACTCGTGTTTAATTTGGACTCCAAGTCTTCCAGCTGCAGGATTTCCGATTGCCAGCTTCGTTCGAGTAAAATCTTCTAGAAATTTTTTAGTATAACCATAGTATACTCCTTTCGAATGACGTGATCGCTGATTTGTATGCGTTATACAGTTTAGAAACCTGTTAGAAACCACGCATAGCTTAAAGAATATTTGACGTAAACTTATTCATCGCCTACCGGTTGGTTGTTGGATTTGACATGAAATAGAATTGTCTTCACATTCAGCATTTTGATAATTACGATCTGTGTAAATGAATATCAAAGACGAATAAGGGCAGGAAACAGATGGGTGGATGGGTACAATGAGGATAATGTCGACGGAGTAAAAGCAGTCGTAAGCGAGTGCAGAAACAAGTTAGCCAGCGTCGCAAACACTATACCTAACATTCTCTCAAATGAACCGGTCCTACGAAATTATTGATTTCCAGAATGATTTCATAATTCCGCTCACATCCTCTCCCACATCATGTGTTCAGGGTTTGGATTACGCATTGTAAGCGAAACGTCTGTAGAAAAAGGATTATACTCGATCATAATGGATAATGAATAATTAGGAATTATATCACAGCATATGATTAAAATACTATCAAGTCCTATATCCTCTATGAGCAACTTTTCTGCAGCGAGTCATTATTCAGAAAAGATCCAGATGTATTGGCAAGAATTTACGAACTTTTTGATCAAAAAGAAGCATTTTCAAATATGTATAAAAAAGTGAAAAAGAAATATACATTAAGTTATAGTTCTTATCAAGGGTTATTTAACAACGTAATTTCTTTGCAAATCCTTTACAGTTCAAAGTATTGGATGTTGCACCATATGGTGCATAAAATCTAAACTCATCAAACGTGTGTATTTTATAAAATGTATAAACTTCTTTACTAAGAAGTAAATACAAAATTTAATCCGTGTGTATGCTAGAATAGGCGTTTCTGAGCATATTCATGGATTAAATCTTGTATTTACTTCTTAGTAAAGAAGTTTATGCATTTTATAAAATACAAACGTTTGATGACTTTAGATTTTATGCACCATGCAATGTTTAAAAGCATATTCTATCACATGAAAAAAATTTATTTAATTTCATTGTTGAAATTCAATGGAATACAGGAATTTCATTATTGACTCAATTTCAATGAATTCTGTCAAAAGTTTAAGATTTAATTGTCATAATTATTATAACAAAAAAATTTTTGCTTAATAAACAATTCATATATATATTTAGTATACATATTTTTTGAGGTTTGGGTAAGTGTTTAATTATATACAGTTTTTGTTTAGAAAATTAGTCAATTTTGAAAATTGAAATCAAAATTTTTTTTATATTTTGGAGTTTTAAGATTTAATATAAATTTTTATATATCCTTACAAAAATTTTTTAAAATATGTATTAATATATTATATGTATGTAAATTTGAGTTTTCTAGCTTACAATTTTCGTAGACCCAAAATTGTGAGGCAGCTTTGCACAAAGTTGACTAATTGACATTATTTGAAATCAAATTCGTATCCTTATACTTATTGATTAAGTGAAATAAAGGCTTGAATCTCAAAGTTTTTTTAATAAAATTTCAAGCCATTTGTTAAAAATTGAGGGACTTTACTTCTTCATTCGTGGATTGCCAATTAAATCAAATTTAAGGCAAAAAGTAGTATTCTAACTTCGCCAAATTTATAAAACTTTTTCAAATTAGGGTTTTGGATAGGTTCGGGGTTTAAAAATAACAAAAAAGATTTTCTTAAAGGATAGGTCGAAATCACATCATCAATTGATCCGATCTGCAAATCGGAAAATATATTTTTATCGTTATCGTTATCATTAAATTTTTGATAAATCACTGGAATTAAGTAATCCATTGGACTTTGTGTAAAACGTAGTTTTGGGTATTCATCCTTCGCAACCAGAAAATTCTAAAAACGTTCGTTGT